TATCATTCATCCATTGATCTCTAAATTAGAAAGCTAAATTCTAAATTGAAATGCCAAAAACAAATTAAGAAGTAAAGTCGTATAAAATACCTTGTGGAGTAAAATTCTTGTGTTGAATTTTGATAATTGATTACTCGAACTCCAACTATCTATAACACTCCAAATTCAATTGAGTTTTGGTTGAATGAAAGGGGAGGAAAAATCTAGAGAAGTTGAGGACTGGAATTGCTTTGCCGTATGTGGTGGGATAAGTTTTGTGTGGATTAACGACCTAAGGTTAGAAAAACGGGGAGGCACAATTAAATTAATTGTTAATTAAATTGTCATCATGTAGGGCATTTGGATCCAAAACGGTAGACTAGTTTAGTTGCCTACCAATTTTTTGAGTGTAATTTAATTAGGGTTGGTTATTGAGAATTGGAACTCAACCATACATTTTTTTAAATGAATAGGGGCATCCACCTCCCTAGGCATACACTAGCTCCGTCCTTGAACACACCATAATGGTGGTATTATTTTGTGTCAATTAGGCCACTCTCGTTCGCGCAAGTTGAATCTTGGACGGAAATCAAATTCACTTATATGAACAAAGGGTGGCGAGTGTGACGTTGTCGTTCTTTCCCGACTTATGAAGAGTCCCTGGTCCATGTGTGCACACATGAATTCAACTCAACAACTCAATGAGAGAAGCCGCCGATTAAGAAGAGAGCAAGAAAAGAAGTATCGAATGAGAAGCAGCCAATTGAGAGGAGAGGAATTCACGACCCATCAAACCTTTTTTTTTTTTTTTCCAAAAAGAAGGGGATCAGCAGTGGCTTTACCACGTCAGTCCACTGTCCACCTTTTCCAAAGCTAGAAAGACACAAAGACATTTCAGCCTCTCCCAGATCGTGTCTTATGGTATACGAGCCTGGAATTTGTCTGTAACCACTCAGCCGTCCCGTGATGGTTCACGACCTATCAAACACAATGCACAGACAAAATGTAGGGCTCACCTCAGTCCCGTGAGTGAAATAATGAGTTCGTATTGTCACAAAAATGTCACGAGACGAAATTAATTAGGTCGGAATTAATAAATTCATCAATACAAACTATGACTTGTGCCAACTTAAATTCCTTTTACCCGAAACACCTAATTATTTTGATCTGTTTAACTTTCAGTAGCAACTAGCAACGGTGATGCTCCACTCCAACTCTATTTAGAACAGTTTTTTTTTCTTTTTCTTTATGTATCAAGCACACTAGTTAGTACATTACATATCATAATATAAGTGGAGGGAGAGAATATATTTTTTCAATGTCCTTTGGTGTACTAGTTCGTGTTTCAAATACACTGAAAAACTTCTCTTGTTTTTGCTGATTCTGTTCTAATAAATTTGAATTTCCAGACGAAACAGAAGACAAAAACTAAACCAAAACAATCGTGGCTGTTGTATGTACTGTGTCAAATGCCCAGTTCAGAGCTTGCCCATCTCTATTAGAATCAAACTTCGAGTGTGACGATCTATTTTTATATCCTTTGCTTTCTTTTCTCTTTCACTAATTTTAAGTGACAAAATATAGATTCGACGGAAGAATTACTAACTTGAAAATTCTGAAAATTCACCAAACTTTCGTACTCTTAAAAATGTTCACTGAAAAATGCTACAGATTTTCTGTGACAAATAACTTAATTGTATGACCTGAATTCACAATTTGACATAAAAATATGTTCATTTTCGAGTTCAATATTAAAGAGGAGAGAGAATCCGACTCCCCCATTTCATCCTTTCAAAGTCCTTATTGCCTTTGTGTTTGTCTTCTATTTCCGTGGCGAGTGCTTTTGTAGCTTTCTGTTCTTTGGCTAAAGTCCTCAAATAGAATAGGCCCACTGACCTCATCGACAAATACAAATCAAATTTAAGGTTGCTTTTTTGCTGCATATGATGCCGGCCAGGTTTGGTCTCTGCTCTCTCTCCCTCCTCGCCACTTCCATTCTTTCCATGCAGTTGCATTATCTGACCAGAAAAAAAGTCGATGCATGTATGAAGGGAAGAAGGAAAACTCAATGTGCTTGAAGCAAATATTATGGGTGAAGGAACAGGAGAAAGAGATAGACTTTGAAGATCTTATTCCCTTCCCACTATTTTATTTAAGGCATCAAAGTAAGAGCCTGATTACATTTTTATGGATTAAATTGAGAAATTATAATAAATAAGGCCTAAAAGGAAGTGATTTGCAGTCCTCCACCTCCCAATGCATTAGTTTATTTGGGTTGAAAATAGAGACTGCAGGTTGATAATCAAAGACCTAATCATTTTAGAATAATAATCCCCATCATCTACAATCAGAGTGCCACCCAAAAGATCCCTTCACTTCTCTTTCTTTTCTTTGTTTTTTTTTTTAAAAAATCCTCTTTTATTTGCATGTAATCCAATATTCTGAAAGATAGGATATTAGATTTTCACTTATGAGTCTCGAGTTTGATTTGTTTTTTTTTTTAATAAAAGGGGGACAACTGGTGGCAAACCACATTTATTCACTCTTTCCAGGAGCCGGAAAGACTCACAGAAGCATTTCAGCCTCCCCCTAGCTCGTAGTTTTTAGTTTGAAGGAAGTCTCGCAATCCATCCTTTACCATTGAGGCACTAGCTCGTAGTTGAGTCTCGAGTTTGATAACTCTTCCCTCTGTTTAATAGGCTTATTAATTGAACTAGACTGATCTTGAAATAAGCTGATCATGTTTCATTTATGTTGTAATGAGTATTTTTCAAGTGCAAATTTCGAGCCAATAAATGGATGCTTTGCAAGTGAAAAGACTCTAAATATATATAACCCTTATTTTGGTTGATATAATAATTTTGTTGCACGGAATTTTTCCATGGATTAAATGATTTATTTTAATAAGGGCCCAAAACATCATGGGTTTGAATTGCAGTTATTAAAAATGGAATTGAGATTTGTTTAGTGTTAGGTTGAAGGTAAACAGATGTGTAAAAAACAAACTGTCTTAAATGCCTTTGAATTTAGTAACTTTTTAACCGGATAGGGTGGAGTGAGATCAAAATAGTTGAAAATGTTAGTTTCATGAGGTAAAATGAAACAAAACTAATTTCAAGGAGTAAATTGAAACTAAATGGCAGTTTCAAAAACCTCTTTTTATTTCTCTTAAAATCTTTATTCTTTAAAAGGGTAATGTTTTTACCAACAAAATGATTCAACTTTTTACTGTGATAAATAAAAAGAACGTATAACTGTGATAAATAAGACCGTACACAATCTCCCATATTTATGTCTGTCATCCATTCAAACTCGTCTCACGGAAAAGCAAAGTACTACTGACATTTTACAGTCTCCATGCCACTCTCCTCCTATTAACATTTTTTTTTCTTTTTCACATCTTTCAAAACCTGAGGTAGATTCTCTTCTCTTCCACTTCTTGTGTCTTTCTATTTTATATGATCACGGTTAAGTCACGTTAATATTTTATAATTTTTTTATAAAAATAATAAAATAAAATAAAATAATAATATAAAAGGTTGACATGGTTTAACTGTAACCACATAAACAAACAAAAGGGTACATGAAGGTACGGGAAGTGGAAAGGCTGAGAACCTACCTCCTTCAAAACCCTCCTTTCTTTGTCATTGGCCTCGAATAATGAATCTACACTTTTTCAGATTACATTTTAGGCCTAATCGGATAAATGGTTCTCGTGGTCATAAGGTATTCGGATGATAGCCCCTGTGGTAAAAAAATTCGGATTTAAACCCCTGTGGTCTAAGTCTGTTAGGATTTAAACCCCTGTGGTCTAAGTTTGTTAGGATTTATGCCCTTCTGTTAAATAATGTTGACGTGGCTGCCACATATATGCCACGTGGCTGCCAAATGTCTGCCACGTGGCAAAAATAATAATTTTAACTCCCCCGCCGGAGCCCTCTCCCCGCGCGACCCTCCTCCCTCTCCTTTCTTTCTTCTTCTTCTTCTTCTTCTTCTTCTTCTTCTTCTTCTTCTTCTTCTTCTTCTTCTTCTTCTTCTTCTTCTCGCCGGAGCCCTCTCCCCACGCGACCCTCCTCCCTCTCCCTTTTCCTTCTTCTTCTTCTTCTTCTTGCAGATATGGGTTAAAAATTCAGGTTTTTTTTTAAAAAAAAAGTAAAAATTATTATTTTTGCCACGTGGCAGACATTTGGTAGCCACGTGGCATATATGTGGCAGCCACATCAGCATTATTTAACATAAGGGCATAAATCCTAACAGATTTAGGCCACAGGGGTTTAAATCCGAATTTTTTTACCACATGGGCTATCATCTGAATACCTTATGACCACGGGGACCATTTATCTGATTAGGCCTACATTTTATAATAATACGGTAATTATATGTAAGAAAGTTAAAATACAAATGCCGCTGTCCAAATATTTTATGCTAATAATTTGATAGCATATGAGAAAATTAAAATACATGAGATTACAAGAAAGGATAACTTTTATGACACGAATATTCTATTGTTATGACATCCAACGATGTAAACACATATTTAAAAATTTATTCACATAACATTATATTATTGAAATCGATCGCTACAGTACATATAGCACTAGCGGAGCCATGTTATGGGCTACCATGGGTTATAGCCCAGATAGCTTTTGGTGAAATATAAAATTTTACATATAATTTTTGTTGATTTTCAAATGTGACACACTATATATTTAGTCACTAATCCAAATTTTCTCAAATCATATAAAATTATATAATACAGTTTACTAATCCTCTTTTTTTCTTACATCATTTTTCTCATCACTTCTTGTACATATACAAGTTTGGATTTGTTTGAATTTTAACATATATTTGTTTAATAACGAAAATCCTTGACTTATCTTGGGAAAATTTTCTTAAACCAGCTAACACTCTGAAAAATACAATATCAAATTTCTTTGTTTATAAAAATTTAAATCTTCAACCTAACTCACCTTGAAAATTTCCTAACTCTGCGATTGGCCAGAGGCACATAGATAAAAGGCATGGGTACAAGGGACTGAAGCCTCTGACTAATCTGAATAATAAACCATCTTTATACATTGGGGTGACAGAAAATTTTAAAAGAGAAGCTCTCAATGAAGTTCTCCATGCTCGTCTTCCTGAGCTTGCTCTCTTTCCTCTTCCAGCATTCTCACTCCACCACAATACTAGTTGATGGAGTTTCAGAGTGGAAAAACCCAACTGTTCATGTGGGAGACTCCGTCAGTAAGTAGTTTGTATTTGTCAAAAACCAAACAAATTCAACTACTTTATTTTCTTTGTTTTTGATTCAATATTTTCTTGAACATTTTCAGTTTTCAAGCACAAGTATCAGTACAGCCTCTACATTTTCCAGAACCAAAGGGCTTTCGATCTCTGCAATTTCACTCAAGCCACCCTACTTACCAAACCTGACTCCACCTCCTTCACGGTATATATATATATATATCTCTCTCTCTCTAAACTGGCTTGAGAATTAGCTGAACAAAATCTGTGTTTAAACTTGGGTTTTCAATAAATTAGCTTCAAAACAAGTAAATTATCATTTGGGTAAGTCATGATTTTCTCAAAGATTTGAGCTTTCTGACTGAAATTCTTGTTTTTACATTGCAAAGTGGCACCCATCACGCACTGGTTTCTTCTACTTTGCCTTCAACAATGCCTCTCTGCTCAAAACATGCCAAAACACCCAAAAGCTGGCCATTACAGTCTCCTCCTCCGCACCGCCGCCGAAAAGTTCAAGTTCAAGTTCAAGTTCACCAATCTCTCCGGAGCTTCCTCCAACGGCGGCCCCAACTCCGAAACCTGGTGGTGGAGGAGCATCTTCTCCAGTATTCCCATGGCCATTCCATCCTCGCCAAGTGGCCTTATCTCCCAGTCCACAACCAAGCGTAAGTTCTTCAGTGACGGATAAAGGCGGCGGTGGAGGCGGAATCCCATTTATTAATAGTAATCCTGCTGTTCCTCTGCCTACTGGTGAAGTGGATTCTGCTACAATACACCCTGTACCAACCTCTGGCCACCAGAGACAGGTAATAATAATACCACTGCGTCTTCCACGTCTACTAATTGTCAGTTGATTTTAAGTTGAATACTTAAGCGGTGTAACCTTTGTCGCCGTTGACAAAATTAGTTTTCGGTTACATGTCAAAGAGTCAAATTTCTACTATGTATCAGTAGGTTTGTAGTTTTTGACTTCATGGACTGAACCATTAACTTGTGCTCATTTCTTCATTTTTCTTTAAAAATTAAAAGAAGTTTAGCACATAAGATAATGGTTACCACCAGGGAAGTACGCCTAAATGTCGAGGGATTCTCTGATGCAATGCAACTAATATTTCATCTTAGTGGGGTTATTGTTTAATAAACGATTCTTAATTGTTCCAAAAGTGAACAATTTGTTTAATAAACTATTGATATATGGTAAATTGGTGACTTAAGAAAATCTCTCTTCCCAGACATATTATTATATACATGAAATTGTATGTGTATGTAGCTTTTGTATGATGAAAATGTTGTGTGAATGCAATTTTCTTTACATTTTTTACTTTAAATTTTGATGGGAGGTTGATTGGGTTTCTTTTGGATTGCGGGTTGCAGGTGTTGGTGGGGTTATTTTCTGCTCAAATGGAATTGGCTCTATTTTATGTGGTTTTCCTGATGATGTAAAGAGAGAGAGAGAGAGATGGTATGTACTTTGTAAAATAGTCAATTGAATTCTGAGGTAGCTAGTTTAATCTTTGATTAGAGTATTGTAATGATGGTTTGATGAGTCTAAAGCACCTGCTTTTTTAAGAGTGATGATTATACACCTTGTAATGATTGGAATTTTTTATCAATCTGTCGAAAACACGGTCCGGTACATTAAGTGTCGTAATACAAAAGGTTGGAAAGTTTTTGTTTAAGTATCCAACTATTTTTATTATAACACAGTGTATCAAACCGTTTTTTCGGACCACTGAAAATCTATCGTAATGATGCTCTTAGATTAGAGTCCCTACTTTGGAATTCATTACCACTTTTGCTGCTTTAGTTCTTGGCATGCAATCAATCGCTAATTTCTCTCTTTTTTTATCCCCATTTTTTATCATGCTCCTTTCTCCACTTTTATTTTTGGAGGAATTTTATTTTAAATTTCAAAAGTCACAAGAGCAATGACCAGTTTGAGCAAAGTTATCCCAGATCAATTGAGGACTTTGGATCCCTCACAAACACAAAGGCACAACTGATTAAATTAATCATGTTTTACACCATTTGAATAACTCTCTCATGACCTGTGATCCATTTTCCAAATAAATTTCAAGTTTACAATCTGAACCACCCTATGTGGATATGTGGCTGGATGAGTGGAGCTGGTGGGCATAGATAGTATCTGCATACTACTACAGAACATGAAAAAAAAGAGTCATTTTTCTTAGCAAACAAATTGCAATATGAAGAATGTCGATAAATTTTCCATTCACTTGATCTGACAGTCGGAAATTAAAAAAGGTGTGTGGGAGGTAAAAATTGGTGTGTAGATAGCACACCCCCTTTCTTTTTTATCAAAAACAGAGGGAGTTAGGGTTCAAACTTGAAATCTTTTCCAACTCAAGTATTGTCTGTTAGTAAATAATACGTTAGTTGGCCAAAACGGTGTTCACTTTCATTTGTTTGACTCCATCCATGTAGTTTAACGGAACTCTACGACCGACCTTGCCACCCATCTTACGACCAAAGAAAAAAAATATTCAAGCCAGGCCTGCCCCCTATATTCAGGCTCCCACCCACCCCTACTAGTTTCACTCACCCTTCTTTATTTTTACTCAATGGAGAAATTTTTCAAAATTTTCGGTATTTAAATAGGTACTTCACGTGTCATAATATAAATTGAGGGACACTAAAAGATATATCTTTTCCTCTGCTTGTATTAGGACATGTGGAGTATCGCTTAAGTTTCCAACACTTGAAAAAATCTCTCCACTCACTCGATGAGTCTTGACCGAACAACCACGTGTTGTGAGCGTGCGGGGCGAAAGACTCCTCTTGTGAGTAGTTTAAAATTAAATATCATCTTGTCAACAATTAATTAAATTTGATATTTATCAAGCTTCAAGAATAACCCCAAATTTGATTAAGGCCCAAGGGCTATCTTGGCAGTTGCATGTTTTGGCATAAAAAGCAACCGTTGGCTTCCCGCCGAGGCAAACAACAATAAAACGGAAAGCAAGGGATTTAAACTGTCGCAGCCGCCCTTAACAACAAGCAATGAATATGTGCTTGCTTTGTTCATCTGCTCACCCTAACAAACCATTTTTATTATGTTTTATTTGCTCTATTAACATGCCCCTCATCCATTCAATAGCCACATTCTCCTACCCCTTTTTATTAACTAAGATTTGAGAGTTTCCGAAATTGATTTCTAACGCGAAAAACCGCCAATGGATCTAGAATTAGGACTCAAGATCACCCATACCGTAGAAGATCATGTCTCCTCTGCCAACTTTCAGATTGCCAAGGACAGATCCGGTCCTCTTTTCGTGTCTAAGGAAACCGAAAGCATGTTCATCCTCACCGGCCATCTTAAAGGTCGGTACCTTTTCATTTATCTTATTAATCTGTGCTCGCGTAGTATTTGCGTGTGTGTTTTTGTTTACGAAACTAATTTTTGGATAAATGCAGGTTATAGAAGAGAGCGTGTGTATATTGACATAAATGAAGATGGGACGCAGATTGGCATCAGTGGGGAGAAGCCAGTTCAAGAGAAGGTGATGTCAGGATGGATAATGTACAAGAAAGAGGTGGAGATAAGGGGTTTCAGAAAAGTCTTTCGAATTCCGGATGGAGTGGTTTTGGATCGAATCAAGGCCAAGTTTAATGTACACGAATCAAGTCTCACGATCGTCATGCCAAAATCAGTGAAAGGAATTCGCGGGGTTGGGATCGAGGAAGTGAAGGAAGATGAAGCGGATACAGGGAAACAGCAGCTAAAACAGCCTTCCGCAGCTGAAGAAGTCCCTGTAAAATATGGTTTTAGGGGAAAAATTGAGGGGGAAATTGGTGAGACCGAGAAAACGAAAGTAGAAGAAAATCGTCGAACTGATGCGAAAGGGGTTGATGAAGATGGCTCCAAGAAAGAAGTTGTAGCTGATGGAGTCATCGGAAAGGACACGAGAGGAAGCACAGTTAAGGAAGAAGCTAAAGATTCAAAGGCTCAAAGTATGCAACACAGAACAAAATCTGTTTCCGAAAACAATGAAGAGTCAAAAGTTGCAAAGGTAGAAGAAGCTGATGTAATTCTGAAAGAGAAAGTTGGAAGAAAGGAATTCGAAACAGATCAAACTGTAGCGAATAGAGTTACGAAGAGAGAAAATGCTGAAGTAACACGTGAAGTTAACAAGCCTTCACAAGAAAATCAGGTAACTGCTATGCATGACACAGCAAAAGAAAACTCTTCTGAGCTCCAAAAATTGGAAGCGCCTAAGGCAGGGATTGAGGAACACGTTCGAAGCAGACAAGAGAGCAGCGAATCATCAAAACAAACAGAAGATACAACAGCTACACAACAAGAAGCGCAAGTTCAACGCGAAAAGAATGCGGATGGAATTCGTAGAGAAGGGGATGCAGTTCAGCTACCAAAGCACGAATCCATCAAAGAAGGTCAGGGAAGCGGAGTTCAAGAAATAGCGAAGAACGAAGAACACATCAAAGAGAAGGATGAGGATGAATCTTCCGAAATGGAGGAACAAAGTGATGTGGATGATAAGAAATCAAGTGATGATCAAGAGAAGAAGGATGGTATGGAAAAGTCCAATCTGCTGTGCTCTCCTTTTATAATCGCAGGTTCAGCACTTATTGTGTCCCTGGTGATGCTAGCAATCAACAGGATTAGAACTAGAAAAAGATAGCTTCTAATCTGTGTGTCTCCATGTCCAATGATATTCTAAGCACATATTTCTTTCCATCAGATAATATCGTTTGTTAAAAAAAAAATCTTTGAAAGTTGAAAGTTATATGGTTTAGTAGTGTTATTTTTTTCCCCACTTATAAATGAAAAATTAAAAGATCAACTTCTATGAAGGACGATTTGAATATTAAAATGGTATGACATTATATACCGCAATCGTAATTAAATAAACACATTAATAAATTCGTATTAAATTTGTTATTCACAAAAATCTAATCATGACATCTCATACAGAAATTTCATGAAAGCTTTTACAATTCCACAAAGTGATGATTGAATAAACCCCACCTATGTTATGTTATTACATTTTTGTCCAAAACGATCGGTGGGTTTGAGTTTTAAAATTTGAGTCTACGTATTAGAAGAGAAAACAATATGTGCATTATACTTTATACATATTCGGAATCAAAACTGCAATGTGATTTTTCTTAGTTGAATAACATTTTATCCCGTTTAAAGTGAGAACTTGTATATAAGTTTCAAGTCTTTGATGCATGAGACAGATTCAAACTCAGACTCAAATATAAGATAAGTAATACTATCCACACACCTTTATTTACATTCCACACACTTCTCAATTTGCAACCATCGAATTGCATGAATTGAAGATATCAAAGGATAAAAACTTATAGGGAGTGTGTGAAAAGTAAAAAGAAGTATACAGATACCGCTATCTTATAAGATTTAAGTCCAGATTAAATTTTTAGTACATTGAAGATGTCCTTAGTTGTTAGTGGCAACCAATTAAAGGCACAAGAGCTGGCTATTGGCATTTATGGCTCAACAGCTAACAAGGAACCCAAGAAGGGATGCATGTCCAAAACACCATAAATTCATAAACCCACCTTCCAAATACATGCCATATGAACTCCATCAAATCAATACAAAAGACAAAAACTAGCTTTTAGCGTTTAAACCCTACATTTAGCAACAGCTCACAGATGGCTACCCTTTTTACAAATTCGGAATTTGGAAAATTAGGGTCAACTCCTCTCCTCTGGCAGCCTCTCATTTCGACGAGGTAGGTATGCACTCTGCCGTCGCCTGATGTTTACAGGCTACCAACTGCATTATCATTCCTCCCCCTTCGACTTCAGGATAAGACGGTGACGGATTGCCCGAAAATCTATTTTTATCTAAATAATAGCTAGAGGAAATCTTCACAAGACCGATTTTAATCGGCTTAATTCGATGCACACGATTAGTTATGCGTATCTCGTGCAAAGTCAAATTATGTTCAGTCGCCCACTCACGCGTGAGCGAATCCTGACCGTTGATGCATTAATGGTTAGGAAATGCTCCCACGTGTACAGGCGATTGATAACAACATGCAGTGCCGGTTATGAGTAGTACCTGCTATCCTTGCGAACTGCTACAGGATGGGACTGCTTCAATGTATTAAAGCTGGCATTTCGCTAGACTGCTCTCAGTGATTACATCCGTAGGTGGCGATCAAGTAGAACCCTGTACACCAAGTAGCATCGGTAGGAAACCTAGTATTTTCGTGGTATACCAAAAGGAGGCAAGGTTCATAGAGCAGACGACTCAGAGAATTCGGTTAAGTATAACATATATATGCTCAGGACTGTAGTAGCAACGGGATTTTGCTGGTGAAACAAGAAGCATCTTCAGTAACTTTGGAAGGGAAACCATGACGCCAAAAGCGATGGAATTGTCTTGGCAAGAATTGGAACTCAGCCAAGGGAATGAATAAATCAAACCCTACAAAGTCAACCAAACGAAATTCACAGAACGGATGAAATTCACGGACGTCTTCACATGACCGAATAATAGTCAAATTCCTGCAAGAAAAAGTGGGAAGATATGCATGAATAACACCAATCAATCAATCTCAGCTTCACCAAAATAGTCAGCAATACAATAAGCCTAACCTAACTGCATATGGAAGTCAGCAGAAACGACAGCAATCGTTATCATATGGGGAAAGTTGGAGCTTCGATCTGTGCTTAAAGCTGCACATTCAAATAATGCAAGCAGAAAATTCCAACGACAACCGAACAGCCGATTTGTTTTATTTGTTCTGTCTATTCTCTTAAGCATTGACCAATCAAAATATAACTACCTAATTATAATCCAATTTTGAAGAAAAAGAAAGGGTTGTAATCCTTATACACAAGTGCTGCAAAGAGACTAAATTCGGAATCTTTGATGATTTGGTTTCTCCGCATTGCATAATTTGCTTGATAAAAGAGCGAGCGAGCGAGCGAGTCATTTTCCGACACTGTAGTGGAGAACGTGGACAATAAGACACAGACACTCAACCCAAAAGAGGAGAAACAAATGATTTCGCTTGCTTACTCTAAAAGTCAAGTTCATTACAAGCAGTTCCTATGTTGGAATTCCCCTCCCCGTAGTTCGAGATCAGATTAGAATACTGCTCAAATCGATGAGCTGAGAAATTCATCCTACAAACCCTCCAATATCTCTCTCTCACGAACACACACACACACAAACAAATTCAAATTCCCAATTCGCATCTCACGATCACCAAGTAGCAGAGAAGAAAAGAAAAATTGATGTAACAATTGAACCAAAAATGAGAAAGAGCAGCAGCCAGAAGCATGCTGAGGAATTCCATTACACAAAGGCAAATTAAATCAGCAACAACACAAACTAAAGGGGAAGAAGTAGAAGAAAAAAAAGGACCTCCACGGAAGCCGGTCCATTTGCATAATCCTAATTTCTATACACAATATATATGGTGATTTGCTGATCCATTGAGTGATGACTAAATACAATGAAAAAAAAAGTCATATCTCCTCCTTACCCAATTTTTATTGGCGCCAAAATCTTCTTCTTCAATTGGCAATTGATTTCGATGATCATTCGGGGTTATTCATTCTTCCGAACGAGTCCAACCCCTCCGTTCGGCTTTTTACAATTCCATGGAACACCTCCCTGACCTGCCGTTCCAGAGGATCTAATCCCTCCTTAATCCCCTGGCAGAGGCTCGACAGTTCCTGCACTCTCTGCCTCACCTCCCTCTCCTTCTCCTCCGCAAGCGGGAAGTGCGCGGAGTCAGCCAGATCGCCAATCACCCGAGAGCACCATTCGATCTGATGAATCTCCTTCAACAATGCGCAGGCATTCCTCCTGTCTCGCCGCTTCGACTCGTCCATAATCCGCTCGTGCAGAGACAGCATTGGCCCCGCCCATGCGAAGCTCCTCGGCACGTTGAAATGCACCTGCAATCCCCTGTCCTGGCAGGGTATCGCCGCCACCAGAGCCCACATTACGAACAGCAAAACCGAATTGATTGTGAAAACCGCCGGGGCCAGCCCACTGGAGGCCAAAATTTCATTGGGCCTCGGGGCGTATAGATTGTTCCCGATTGCTTGGAGCTGCCTCGCGGCCGACCACGACCTCGAGACGCTCCAGGACAGAGATCGGAAGTGGCCGAGCGACCGGTGCTGCTGGTGCTGATGATCCTTTGTGTTGTTGTTTCGGCCGAAGGAGCGGTTCCGGTGGGCTACGGTGGTGTTGGAGGAGTCCTTGTCGTCGAGCATTGCGATGGCTAGGTCGACGAGGGCCTTCTTCGCCCGGCGAAATTGGCCCTCGCCGAGCGTCCTGTCCCGGTCTAGCGCGACGAGGACGATGTCGAGCAGCTTGAGCCACTGGCGCATCTGCTCCATTCCGTCGCGGATGGCGTTGCAGACGTCGAGGGCCTTGACGTGGCGCTCGAAATAGTCGGAGATGTAGCGGTCGACGGTGGGTTTGGAGATGTGGGTTTTGGTAGACGAGAGGATGAGGAGGGTTTTGAACTCCTGGTGTATGCGGATGAAGGATTCGAGGAGGTCTCGGAGCCATGGGAGGGAGAGGACGTCGTGGGAGGAGGAGGAGAGGTTGTGGAAGCAATCGGCGACGTGGGTTTGGAAGGAATCGAGGTCCAATCCGCCACTACCGCTGCCACCTGAAAGGCCGTGACTTTCCATTGAATTCAACTGATCGCGTCTGAGGCTGAAGATTGACCTTCCGACTTGATTGGAACCAGCTGACGAGTATTCCGTCGCTGGCATTTCTCTCACAGTCCAATCCAATCCAACCCAACCCAACCCAATCCAACCCAATCCAATCCAATCCAAATTCAATTCAAATTCGATAGGATTATAAACATGTAGAGAGAGAAAGAGGAGTGTGTTGGGATGAGAGAGAGAGGAGAGAGTCTGCGTTTTATGGAGGGGAAGGGATGGGGGTTCGGGATAGAAATGAGATTAAGAGTTTAACCATAATTAGTGAAACTTAATTACTTTACTGTGCGCTAATTAACTTTTCTTGTTTGCTAACGGGGAACGCGAAGAGTACACGGGGCGGACACGGTGGATGTAAATATTTGGAGCTCCACACACTCCTTAATCTTGCTTTTCTAACTTTTTCCTTAATTTAAGATTTAACCGCGGATATACGAGAGAACGAGCTGCATCTGGGCCGTTGATTTTTCTGTGTTTACTTTTGGATCGCCGAGGGTGGGGGCGTGGTGCCAAGTGGGGGACGAGGACGGAGTCGTTGCGCTGAGTGGGTGTACACGTGGACGGTAGAGCTGGGTCTTTGTAGGCGCGTAAATTGGAGAGGAGAGGAGAGGAGAGGAGAGCAGAGGGAGGGGGACGGATGGATATGATTGACTGACTGGGTCCTTCTAGAAAGTGGGTGAGACGGAGAGGGCGGGACCGAGGGTTATGTGGGGCCCAGGGAGGAGACGATGGATGACGTATGTCATTTTTTTTATTTTGACGGAGTTGCCCCTGGTTCGTAGAAGAAAACGTCAAATTCCTGTCTGCATGCTACATTTTTATTTGTCATTTTTCATTAAAATTAAATTTTTTCAAGATTTTTTTGTTAGCTTTCCTTTTAAATTATCCAACCAAAATAAAACACAAAGTTTGGATTTTTCCATTTTTTGTCCGCCAGCACGAGATTGAGTTTGGGATTGGGATACACATGCTTGGTTCTTGGAGATATAAAGTAGCTGTGCATAATAATTTTATAGAAATGTTATTAACAATCATATGACTTCAAACCTATACCCACGGTAGAAAGATCTTGTCGGAGCTTTCAACCCTACTCAAGTAAATTAAAACGAAAGCTAAGTAAATGATAGATTACATCGGGCAATTCTTAAAATAAATATATCATAACATGATCTTAATGTGAAAACCTTCACCTTGCTTGGAATGCATGACCCCCTTATACATTTACATCATTGTATTTTAATGCCTTCCAGTGTGATTTTCCAACTCCTTTGCTACATGATAAGCACTACCAACAGGAAAAATCACCTTGTACTAAAAAAGAACCCAAAGAAGGTAAGAACTTTTGTAGAAAAAAAAACATTTTTAGGCTATTTTTGGAAAGTAACTTCCCATGCAATGCTCCATTTTCAGTATATTATTTCTCCAAGAATCCGTTTTGAATATTTAATTTTTTAGACTTTTGCCGAAATTTCAGCGTGGTTAAATAAATTATTCCTCCTTACATCATGACGTCATAGCATCATTTTATTGTACGAACTTTATAATTTGAACTGTTCATTTCTCTTTATTGAATCTATAGATCATCTCATAAATATTTATTGATGTGAAAACCGTTTGATCATTTATGTAAATTAAACAAGTTGATGGTTGATCATTGGGATATTACTTGTTAGTACCATAAATCATCAATTTGTTAGACACATATAGATCGGTTGATCATAAAGATATTACTTATAAACTTACTTATAAACATAAGTGTCTATTTGTTTGACACGTATGAATTGGTTGATCAAAAACATATTACTTATAAACATAATTGTCTATGTGTTTGATAGGGTAAGAATTGGTTGATCATAAAGATATTACTTATTACAATAATTGTCAATTTGTTTGATACATATGAATAACTAAACAACATTCCAATTGAATCAAAACCTCTAGAGAACCTTTGAATGATGATTAAGAGAATAAAAAGTTTACATTAATAACAAAGAATGCACCTCTAAACAAACCTTGCTGGAATTTCAGTGCGGTACAAGGAAAAAAGCGAGCATACTTTATATTAAGGATACTATTTTGTTATTTACATGTAAAGAATTATTTCTCCTTACATGACGTCATAACATCATTTCATTGTACGAATTTTATAATTTGAATTGTCCAATTTTTTTATTGGTATCTAAAGATCATCTCTAGAATATTTATTTTGATATGAAAACCGTTTAATCATTTATATGAATTAAACAAGTTGATAGTTGATCATTGGGATATTACTTGTTAGTTCCATAACTGTCGATTTGTTAGACACATATAGATCGGTTGATCATAAATATATTACTTATAAACATAATCGTCTACTTTGTTTAACACTTATGAATTGGTTGTTCATAAAGATACTACTTATTACAATAATTGTCAATTTGTTTGATACATAAGAATAACTAATCAACCTTCCAATTGAACTAAAACTTCTAGAGACGACCTTTAAATGATGATTAAGAGAATAAACACTTTAGATTAATAACAAAGAGTGCACCTCTAAACAAACCTTTGTTGGAAAAAGTAGGGTCTACTTGCTATATTAAATCACATATAAAATCAATAAAAAATTCATGCAATTATATATCACAATAATGCATGCCCATGAGTAACCAATGTTAAATGAACATGACATAATGAATTAGAAAAACCTAGAAAATACGGTCAAGGCAAGTGTTGGACACTTTGTCCTTAAGACAAGTTTATGCCCCACTACGGTGCTTATGGTTAATCGGCGCATGTCTCCCAAGATACAACGACCACGTCCTTGTAATAGTAGCACTCCAAATCACAAGGCTTCATAAACCACGATTGTGTTGAAAACTCTCTCATATGGACTCAATGAGACTCTAATATTTAGTGCACTCTATGTATGATTATATAAACGAATGAAAAGTCCTCATAGTGATTATAGGGGCTTCCCTATTTATAAAATGTGAGATACATTTTTGGAAAGCACGTGATTATTCATGAAGAGTCAAAAGTTGCAACACTTCATTTAAGTAGACATATCTTTATAACAAAAGGCTCCACTTCTAATTTTCATTCAATTAATAAATTTAATATAATAATAATATTATTAAATTTTCCAACAACTTTGCCGAATTTCAACACGGTACAAGAAGTAAAGTGCATCTGAAATTTGAGCATGCTTTTTATTAAGGATACTATTTGGTTTTTTACATGTAAAGAATGATTTCTCCTTACATGACGTCATAACATCATTTCATTGTGCGAACTTTATAATTTGAAATGTTCATTTCTCTGTATTGTTACCTAAAGATCATCTCTAGAATATTTATTTCAATATGAAAAACTGTTTAATCATTTATATGAATTAAACAAGTAGATGCTTGATCATTAGGATATTACTTGTTAGTACTATAACTGTCGATTTGTTAGACACATATAGATTAATTGATCATAAAGATATTACTAATAAACATAATTGTCTATTTGTTTGACACGTATGAATTGGTTGATAAAAAACATATTACTTATAAACATAATCGTCTATTTGTTTGACACGTATGAATTGGTTGATAAAAAAACATATTACTTATAAACATAATCGCCTATTTGTTTGACAGTGTATGAATTGGTTGATCATAAAGATATTACTTATTACAATAATTGTCACTTTATACGATACATATAAGATCTAAACAGTCTTCCAATTGAATCAAAACTTCTAGAGTGACCTTTAAATAATTTCCTACTGTTTAGGCCCAAAATAGCAGTTTGGGCCGAGGGAGGTATTACTTTCGGCCCGGGAAGACTACGGCGAGAAAGTCATGGGGGCTTCAGCTCATGGGCTTCTAGGCCTAGATCGGTTAAATCAGAGTGCAAGTCGAGTCCTAATACAATAGGGACCCTCGACGAGATCAGTAAAACTAGAAGGCGAATCCGGCTCAGTTAAGGACTAGATTCGTAGTCCTAGCAGAGGTAGGACTGATTGAGGTAACGTTAATCCGGAGAAGGAAACCTAGTTCGAATAGGATTAGAACTCGGGCTCGGTGTTCTGCTTCTATAAATACAAGACATTCAGCAATGGAAAAGCCCCACAAAAATCAATACAAAATTGCCCTGCGCAAACTCTCACAACTTGAGATCTTTTTCTTTTCCTTTTTCGCTGACACATCTTCCGTTGGCATCAACAGCACTGTGGAAGCAACCGGTGATATCTTAAGTCGGCATAGATAGCTCTGTCACCGTAGAGTCGGTTGGTCTCGCAGTATCTTCCGTTGGCATCAACAGCACTGCGGCGAGAACGGTCGACTGCCTATCCAAGTCTCGGTCGAGAAGGGTTTTCGAATCCTTGTTGGTCGAGGTCATCTCATTAGCCTTCTCGGCGAGGTGGGGTGTTACAGTTATTACATTCGGCACATTGAAAGCCGAATTCGGTTCGTGAACTTCGCAAATTAGCAGCCTTGTCTTCAGGCTCGAGAGCCCAAGAGGCCGAGAATTGTTCCTTCCTCGGCCGCAATCGCAAGACACAGAAGTCAGCAGCGCGCTCAACGCAACATCAACAAATTTACTCCTCGGCCGAGCCTCGGCCGACGAGTTGGCACGCCCCGCAATCACCGAAGGACGTAGTTAGCTTAGAATATATTCGGCCTGCGCGCCACGTAGGTTTTGTAATTTCTAGGGTCAACATTTTGGCACGCCCGGTGGGACCCAGTGCTAAACTACGAAGTTCATGCCAATTGAAACACGATCGGTAAAAAAAAAAACAGCTATGGGAAAGTCGACAGCCGATTTACCAAGTCAGAGCATAGGACAGAGTGTGCCACAGGCGCAGAATCCCCTTAGCATTGGTACACCTGAGTCCACGAGCGCGACTCGCCGAGAGAGAGAACTTAATCTCGGCGGTCAACTCCGTGGTTTAGAGATCCCAAACAGAAACACATGCGTTCTCAATGAAGGGATAATAGAGGAATGTGATGAGGATGGTGGTGAAGGAACAGACCCACCAACGAGGTCGTTCCTCCGAAAGCGACTGGACGAGCAGTCTCGGTCAGTCGAGCAGACGTTCAGTCGAGGCATTGACAAGCTGCAGGACGCGATACTCAGTGCCAATGATCGGCAAACCAAACTGCTCGAAATGCTGGTTAGCCAAGTTGGTGGCAGCAGGCCTTTCGATCT